ATTCCGCAATCCTATTCTGCCAAAATACTGTTGCATATACTGAGCGAAAATTATATATTACTGCATTTTATTTGTGATATAAATGATTTTTTAAAAACAATGGTGTGTCCTCCTGGGCATGTATCTGGAGAAAACCACAATTCAAAAAGATATATGCACCCCAATGTTCACTGCAGCACTATTTACAATAGCCAAGACATGGAAGCAACCTAAATGTCCATTGACAGATGAATGCATAAAGAAGATGTGGTGTGTATATATATATATATGCACACACATATATGTATACATACACACAATGGAATATTACTCAGCCATTAAAAAGAATGAAACAATGCCATTTGCAGCAACATGGATGGATCTCGAGATTATCATACTAAGTCAAATAAGCCAGACAGAAAAGACAAACATATGATATAGCTTATACGTGGAATCTAAAAGACAAATGAATTTATTTCCAAAACAGAAAGAGACTCACAGACACAGAAAACAAACTTAGTTACCAAGGGGGATAGGGGGGTGGGGAGAGGGATAAATTAGGAGGCTGGGATTAACATATACACACTATTATGATAGCCAATAAGGACCCACAGTATAGCACAGGGAACTATACTCAATATTATATAATAACTTATAAAGGAAAAGAATCTGAAAGTATATATATATATACACACATATATAACTGAATCACTGTGCTCTATACCTGAAACTTACATGATACTGTAAATCAACTATACGTCAATAAAAAAAATTAAAACACTGGTGCGTCTTTTTCTAGGTATTGATTGGGTACCTCTCAGATGCTTTCGTTATCCCAGGGTTTACTACTTTGCCAGATTTGGAGAACGTAATGGACGTATTTATGTTCTCAGCTAACAAGACGTAAATAGAAGTTTTTATGAAGGTTTTTACTTTTTAAACCAAATTTAAAATTTGTAATGTTCAGTACTTAAATGAGAGCACATGTGCCCTACCAATTATATCTACACTACTTTTCCTATTATATACTTCAGCCTCTTAGATAATATACACCTGGATGAAGATGGTTATAGAAAGCAGTCTTTGGAAATTTGGTGTAGTACTTGTCTAACGGTTAATAATTCTATAATAAATACATCAAACCTGAACATTCTTATGATGGCTTCTAGTTGGGGGCAAGATCGTGATGGCAATGTAGTTTTTTTAATCTCTCCAAATCGCCTCAAAACAACTAGGATAGCAAACTAAACAGTCCACAGGCACCATCTTCAACCAAAGCAAGTGACTGTACACCCATGAGCTCCAGAACGCAGGTGAGTGGATCCAAACCCTGACAGCAGCAGGACCCCTATGGGTTTAATAGCTGTGGGAGGTTAATAGAGGGGGGATAAAGCGGCGTTCTGACCATCTTAGGAGACCCAGGACACAGAAATTGCCAGATACTTCCAAAAGAAGTATTCTATTTTGAGTGGAACGTTCAGTAGGCAAGTCTGAGAACCTAACAGACATCTTCATAGCTTCCATTTGCAAGTAAGTCTAGAGAAGACCACGAGAACCCACTAAGGGGCTGTCATGGGGTACTAAGGTGAATTAAGCCCATAACAACTTCACAAATACACAACACCTGCCATCCCGAGGAACTGAGAGCCTCCCTGAAAAAGAGTCTTGTTGGGAGTGGAATCTGAATTGAGCAAGCCAGAAACACTGGTGGGAGACAAAAGTTTCACCCTGGCCAAGAGAGTTCCAAACTGAGTAGGTGGATACAGAGAGGCTGTGTTTTTTAGTACTCCCCAGCAGAACCAGTTACATAACTCGCAGAGCACAGCATAAAGTGAAAATCCAGAGCTCCTTGTTGATTAAAAATTTCAAGACGGTAACAGGAGAGCATGAAACCCGGAGGTGGATCCTGTGTGGCTATACAGGCTACATGCCCATGAAGCCAGCCCTGCTTCTGAGCCAAAGCAGAAAGGGAACCCCTAAACAGGGAAGCCAGGAAAGCAGCTCCGGTTTGCCCTCTCCCTATTCAGGATCCTCCTAAAAGCACAGAAAAACCCACATCACTTAAACATGAGCAATAAGAAACAGAGGGCGATCAAGCCCTTTACAATGATGTTATAAGGCAAAAGAGGAATAAGTCAACATACCAACAGGTCACGAAGGCGCAGCAAAAAATTGTAATACAAAACCTATTATGCAATAGTACAAAATAAGGTTAAAAGAAACTATGAAAAAGTGTTTCCGAACGCAAGTTCTCGTGCCGGACGCGCAGCGAGGCCCATCAAACCAAAACGTCAGCGTTTGGAACAGAGGGAGGTCGATTGTAGAGCAGAGCAAGAAGACTGCAAAAAACCTCGACCTTCCCGAAGGGTTTCAGCAGAACATTTTTAAAGGCTAGGTGAGGGAGGGGCGGCCCAAGGTACGTGATCAGCCCGTGCACAATTCTCTGATTGGTTGATGGTGATCATTTAGGCGCCAGAAGGTGCGTGGGGGGGGCGGGTCACGGGCTCAGGATCATCAACTAGTTAATTTCTTCCATTTGGTGGTGGTTTTAGCATCTGACAAACTCAGGGAATATGCATCAGGTACTATTATCCAGGTACTTCAGAGAGGAGCTAAAGCAGAGGATATGGGGGATGGGTTTGTCCCGGGAAGGCCCCGTAGGGTCCGGCTCGGTTACAATTCCCCCCTTTTCTTTGGTACCTCTCAATCTTGAAAACAGGTGTTGGACAAGAAAGGGAATAATGTTTTGGATAGAGGTTCATCATAAACTCGGCAGAGGAACTCGGTTTCAATCTCCAATCCCGTTTCATCCTTCCCCAAATCTTTCAGGGAATGGGGTGACAACACCTGGCTACTTCCTGCTCAAATGGGGCATAGTCCTGCCTCAATTTGGGTAATGGATGTAACCGAGCAGGACCCTATGGGGCCTTCCCGGGGCAGACCCCTCCCCCATATCCTCTGCTTTAGCTCCTCTCTGAAGTACCTGGATAATAGTATCTGATGCATATTCCCTGAGTTTGTCAGACGCTAAAACCACCACCAAATGGAAGACATTAACTACTTGATGATCATGAGCACGTAGCCCCCAGACCTTCTGGCACCTAAGGAATGATCACCATCCACTGATCAGAGAATTGAGAATGAGCTGATCCCATACCCTGGGACACCCCTCCTCACCTGACCTTTAAAAATGTTTTGCTGAAACCCTTCATGGAGTTCGGGAGTTCAGAGCACCAGCCATCCGTCCTCCTAGTATTGGCACCTTTACAATAAAAGCTGCATTTTCCTTCACCACAACCCGGTGTCAACAGATTGGCTTCACTGCACGCAGGTGTGCAGACCCAAGTTTGGTTCGGTAACATGGACACAGAATTGGAAATATTCCCGAGTTTCAAGTCCCGATCCGAGTCTTGTATGATCTCAGTCCCTTAGTCCACCCTTTTGGTGCCAGCCGACCCAATTAGAAGTAGTTGGAGGAGTGACAACTGGAAGTTTAACGGACGAGTATTGGGCTGCGACCCGCAGGCCTACAAGGCCTGTGCTTGCTGTTTTAAGACCGAAGAAAGAGCCTGGAGTCAGCAACAGAGACATCAATGGTCTAGTAGATGGGGGAGCTTACACATCTGAAGCAAGGTCCTGGAGCGACACCCCACCATGTGCAGCAGGTGGTGGGCAGGACATGGTGGCAGGCTTTGCTCCCAGGGGGAAGGGGAGATTACCAGTTACAGGGGAATTGACATCGGGTGGACTCATCGGTTACCAGGGAAACCAGTAGAGGGGCACGCCCCTCACTACTCCTTTGGTAAGAACAATCCAGGTGGACTCATCGGTTACCAGGGAAACCAGTAGAGGGGCACGCCCCTCACTACTCCTTTGGTAAGAACAATCACTAGCTAGGCCCTGGGGCAAGTAGGTAGGAAGGTCAGTTCTGTGAGCAGGGTGTAGGTGAAGCAGGCACTGGTCGAGCAAGGGAGGTACAGAGAGCAAGAGAGCAGCCATCTTGAGTCGCCTGATCATATACCAAGAGACATGTCATTTCCTGAGGAATTCAGAGAATAAGTCTGAAAACCAGTCTGGACCTGCCAGTTTGGGGGAGACTTGTAGGCAGGTAGCCAGTTGTCTATTATTATCTAAGCCAATTTTAACTTCTGACGTGGTATTAACATATACATAACAGGAGCTATTGGCCACTACACATGTCTCCTTTTTTCTGCTAACATCTGATCTAAAGCAATTTTATTGTCTAAAAATCTAATAGTTACAAGAGGAGACCTTGAGGTTATAAGGTTGCAGCTGCCATCTGCCAGCAGACACTGCTTTGAGAATAGCTGGTGGCGTCCTGAGTATGACACAGCTCAGAAAATTCGAGTTCCCAACAATACAGGGACATGCCTGAAATCACGTCCACAATGGCAACCTAGTTTTACCTTGGATGTCTGAACCACAGCTACTCCATTTTGATATTCAAAAGCATTCCCCTCCCCAAGGCCAAAGCAGATGTACAATGCATGTTCAAAAGGTCATAAAACAGGCTGCTTTGGTCAGTAAAGTATAAGTTAAATCAGGTATAAGCCAGAAGGACTTCCCCATACCTCAAAAATGTGGAGATTTTTCCATTATTTCCCCTTTTGATTGCAAATCCCTGAAGGGTTTCAGCAAAACATTTTTAAAGGCAAGGTGCTCATGATCATCAAGTAGTTAATTCCTTCCATTTGGTGGTGGTTTTAGCATCTGAAAAACTCAGGGAATATGCATCAGATGCTATTATCTGGGTACTTCAGAGAGGAGCTACAGCAGAGGATATGGGGGAGGGGTCTGTCCTGGGAAGGCCCCGTCGGGTCCTGCTCATTTACAAAAGCAGCGATCAGAAACAGGCAAAAAAAAAAAATATCTGAAAAAAGCTGTCATGACTTAGGAGCGAATTAGCAAATAAAGAAAAAAACCATTTCGGAAACAGAGACTCAGAGTAACACAAGAGTGAAGAGACTCCATGTTGAAGTACAATAAGAAATAGGGGATAGGAAAAGGAAATGAAACCAACAGAAATAAAATCCTTCTGTGAAAAGCAAATTTCATAATCTCTAACCACTTGAATCCTACTTGACAAAAAACACTGTTTATTTTTCTCCTTTATTTGTTGAAGTTTGGTTAATCTTACCTAAAGAGGTTATAGTTAATTAATTTTTTAAAAATCCAGTTTCAAGGAGATATTCTGGCAACCAATTCTGCATCCGTATTCTTCACAATTCATTTGATAATTTGAAACATTAACAAAAACATTTTTAATCTGCTTTTCAAAGGGAACATCTGTGTGTTATTGTTCGTGACAGTAGCTTTGTTATAGCAAGTGAAACATCTGGAGAGACTTGATTACTTGTTGACAGAAACTCCAATGCAAAACACAGGTGAACAGCAATGTATTCTCCCTGGCCTCAAATAAATAAGCCCAGCCAATGGGGTTGGCCTAAGCTAATAAATTGTAGTACTTGGGATCCTTATTTCTGAGCCATTCCTTGTAGTGGGTCTAGATCTGTGGCCAATTTTGGTTCTTCCCCAACTTAAAAGAACTAGAATTAAGAACTTTTAGCTTGTGACTTTTACTCTGGATGTTACGAGTGGCCTGTTCAGTCTCCTTAGGTTAACTCCCTGCTAGAAACAAAGAAAATCCAAGTCTCAACAATCCAGATTGTTTGAACCCACGTTGATGGAATTTTTCAGTCTTTCTAATACTGATTTTCAGTTCACTTGGTTATTAGAATCAGTTGGGTAGTATTCTTATTTGCCAATGAACAGCTCAGGGCTTCAGAGATAACTAGATGAACAAGTGGTTTCTCAGACCCCAACAGGTAATTTACTGACCATCCTAACTTTCTTACAGCTTAATTAGGGAAATAATGTAATGCAGGTGAAGGTGCCTAACAGCGTGCTAAGCCCGTGCTACGCACTCAATGAAAATGAATCTAAGTGTAGAAGGCACTGCTGATTATAAGCACGAAGGCCATCTCCTCCTCCTTTCTTGATGGCAGAGAACCTCCCAACCCAGAGACTGAAAATGCCAGCTTCTCACTTTCCAGCCTCCTTTGTAGCTAAGGCACAGACGTGTGACCCAATTCTGGCCAATGATAAGTGAGGAAGGGGACTTCTGGGGAGGACTTCCTCCCTAATAAGAAATACTTCATGAGTAGAAACATCTTTTCTTCAGTTGGACATTGCTGTGTTTGCACTCAATGCTTGGGACCATGACAGCCACTTTGCAACCCTGAGGGGATGAGCCTAGGTACCTAGCTAATACCCCAAGGAAGGCAGAGCAGAAGCTGGAGGGAGTCAGGGTCCTTGGTGCCATTGTGGAGCCACTGAACTGACCCTGATCCCACCCACCTCTGGATTTTTTTTTTGTATATTAAATAAGAAGCATCCTTGTGTTGAAGCAATGTTAGTTGCAGCCAAAAGCATAACTAATACATTGAAGGAGCTCTCTCCTTTTCAAATACCTCAATAGAACCTAAACCCAGTTTTCCTTTAATGTGCCGGACAAAATGTGCGTGTTGCCACTGAGGGGAACAGGTCCTTCCCAAACCCCCATCCGTTTCCACATTCAGTACTGTGTGTCCTCAAGTCTTCTTCCTCCACAAAATGGAGATGGTTCCTGTTTCTCAACTCATTAAGTGTTTCTGATGACTGGTAACCTAATTGATTTGTGGCCCCCAAATTAAAGGCACTAGAAAAGATTTTTTTTTAAATGGTAGTTTGCCATCTGAGCTCTGCCCAGGCTGTGCTGTAATTTATGGATGTGCTAACAGGCGAAAGGACAAAGTGACCTGTAATTCACTGACAGAGCCCTGAGAGGCTGCATAATGTCCGTTCCTCCCCATCATCACACGAGTAATAACCATCAAACACACTGGTGGGTACTGAGGGACTCCCTTGTTTCTGAGCTTGTATCCTGCATTGGATCCAAGCCCCATGCCCAACAGCCTGTGGTGATGACATCCCGAAGAAATCAGCACAATGCCTCACAGAATCCAGCCCAGATTGAAAAGTAATAAACAATTCCAGGGTACCAAATTAATACTGAACGAAGGTGTAAATGATTAGAGTCAATACTGAATTGCTCGGTGAATCTATTCCAGCAAGAGAAAGCAGCAGTGGTCGGTAGAGGCGGGGAGCTGGCTTTCTTACGAGCCATTGTTCTTTGTAACTTCTCACCGGCTCTAGACGAGGCCTTGGTTCAGACTCCCCCAACAGCTGACGGTTGCAGCTAGAGTGAAATCAATCTTATAATCCTTCTAGCCATTGTATTCCTAATTTCCCTGTTTGTCCACCCTTTCTGTTCAGACCGTGCACTCTGAAACAAATTCCACATAGGGTTTCTGACATTAGACTTGCCTATTGCCAACACTCTGTCCCTCTGTCAGCTGGGTGTGTGCACCACTGAGAGGGGCATGATGAGTCCAAGGCAATTCCTCACCTCTGCGGAGTGGGGAGAGTGGCCGAGCTCACTGTGTCAGAAGAACCTGCCAATTCCTCAGTCAGAGCTGCAGGGTGGGTCTGAAGGTGCTGGCCCATGAAACTACATGGGAGAAAGGGCAAAGCCTCCAGAAGCAGGGGAGAGCGAATCCTGGGCTGCAGGGTGTGATGGAGAATAACAGCTGGTTGTGTAGGACACTGAGCCCCTGAGAGGCCAAAAGATGCCAGGGGCTGCATCTGTTGCTCTCTTTACTCTTGGGCTCCCACCCAGAAGAGGCAGTAACGGTGCTAGGGGCTGGAAGCAAAAAGAATTTCCCAGGAAAATAGTTCCCCAGCCAAGATCCCCTGCTCTCGAACAAGCTAGGGATTGAAAGACGAGGAAGCAAGCCCAAAGGTTTCTTTTCTGTTTTCCCAGGTCGGTCTAGGAAAGAGCGGATCCTTTGTCCACCAGGGGTAGAGGAAACAGCACCTTTGCTGTGCCCCAGCCCGCCAGCAGTCTGTAGAGACTGCTTCACCACGCTGCGGGCTGAACTCCATCCCCAGAGCAGCCAGAACATGACGTAAGCAGGATGGAGCCCTCAGTGAAGCCGTCCGAGCCCCAGAGAGGTGGGCTCAGCCCTCTATGATCACAATCGTGTCCACAGCCCTTAGACCTCCCCTTGCCCTGCTGTAGCCTCAGGGAGACCCTGCAAAGGGGAATCCCCAGGATGGCCGCTGCCACTGGGGAATACACACTCTGGCTCACACACCCTCCCTCCGTACCCGAGAATGCTCACTGTGGACTGGAATGGTGAGAAGGGCTGCTCTGTCACTCTGTCATCTTACAGAGCTGTTGCTGTGCTATCTGGTAGCTCAGTGGGTGGCTTTCTGTCTTAACCTATTTTATTCATGAAGACTGATTCCAGGACCTACAGGACTCTCCGTCCCACGCTAATTTCTTTCTCTCTCTAAGACTTGTGAAGGCTCGACTGAGCCTACACGTCATAGGAGATGAAATGTTTTCCCCTGCAATGCTAGAAACCACCCTAGGTATTTCAAACAGAGGGGGGTTAATACCAGCAGCTGGTGACATGGGTCAGAGAAGAGTGAGAAGCCAAAGAGGGGTCCATAAGGCAACACAGAGATCAGCCACAGCAGAAAGGTGCTAGTACCCTTAGGACGGGGGGCACATGGGAAGAGCTGTCCTCAGAGACGAGAAGCTAGGGTCACATGTCAGGAACTAGAGACATGCTGAAGGCTGCCAGGAAAGAGGGGCTACCAGGTGGGGGCTTGTATCTGTCTACTGGTGTGTAATAAATGATCCCCCAACTTAGCAGCTGTAAACAATAAATTTATTACCTTACAGTTGCTGCACGTCAGGAACCACCAGCTGAGCTGGGTCGTTCCGGTTCAGGTCTCTCACAAGGCTATGATCAAGGTGTCAGCTGTGGCTGCCGTTAGCTCGAGGCTCAACTGGGAAGGGTCTGTTTCCCATATGGATGTTGACGGGCCTCAGGTCTTCACTAGTTGCTTGAAGACATCAGTTCTTAGTCATGTGGGCCTCTCCCTAGGGCTAATCACAAGATGGTGGCTTTCTTCCTATAAAGCAAGGGCTCTGGGCTTCCCTGGTGGTGCAGTGGTTGAGAGTCCGCCTGCCGATGCAGGGGACACGGGTTCGTGCCCCGGTCCGGGAAGATCCCACATGCCGCGGAGCGGCTGGGCCCGTGAGCCATGGCCGCTGAGTCTGTGCGTCCAGAGCCTGTGCTTCCGCAACAGGAGAGGCCACAACAGTGACAGGCCCGCGTACCGCAAAAAAAAAAAAAAAAAAAAAAAAGCAAGGGCTCTGAGGGAGAGAGCATGTGAAAAAGGGAGAGCAAGATGGAAGTCACAGTCTTCTTGTGACCCAATCTTGGAAGTGACTTCCCAACACTTTAGTCATATTCTCTTTGTTAGAACAGTCATTAGGTACAGACCACACTCAAGAAGAAGGGATCACAAAGGGCATGAATAGCAAGAAGCAAGATCTTAGAGGCTGCCTGCCACAGGACTGTAGCCACCCGCAGAGGCAGAAGCAACTCTTAGTCTGGGGGCCCAAAGCTTATGCAGTCTGGGGAGCCCTTTTAAGACAAAGCATGTAAAATTACAAATATAAAAATCACAGTCAGGTCCAGTAACTGGTGAAAGTATAAGCAAAATGGGGAATAGCCATACAACGGAATACTATTTGGCAACGAAAAGGAATGAAGTATTGATTCATGCTACACCATGGATGAATCTCAAAAACATGCTGCTCGGTGAAAGAAACCAGCCACCAAAGACCACATACTATTTGATTCCATTTACATGAAAATGTCCAGAAGAGGCAAATGCGTAGAGACAAGAAGCAGATTAGTGGTTATCAGGGCCTGGGCTTGGGAGCCAGGATTGACTGAAAAGACACGAGGGAAATTTGGGGTGATGGAAATTTTATAAAACTGGATTGTAGTGATGGTTGTACAACTCAATAAATTTACTAAAAACCAACGAACCATACACTTACAATGGGTGATTTTCATGGTTTGTAAATGATATTTCAATAAAGCTGTTAAAAAAATTATACACACAGGACATTGGAAGGGACCTGTGAAAGTGAGAGGCCCTGGAGCTTAGGCTTCATTGACTTTTCAGAAAATTTGTCTCCGTGGAAAAGATAGAGCTATTGCAGAGACACTGCCTGAGGCGGTGAGGGGAGAAGGCAATCACCAGGCTTCTCCTCTCCCTTCCCCGCCCAGTCTTCTGCCTGGGCCTCCAATTGCCCTAACCTGCCCGGAAGCCAGGGACATGGAGTGCTTTGTGATACAGGGTGGAGATACGAAGGTCTGGGAGGAGATATGAGAACAAAGAGGCAAATGACAGGCTCATGGGCCGCAGCCTGCAGGGCTACCTCCACACCCTAATGCCAAGGCAACTTGGACCAGCTCTACCTTTTGGCGTTGAGAGATGTCTTGAGAGGAAATCCATAGAAGGCCCACGTTTCCAAATGAAGACCTAAGCTATGGATTATTTATCATCAAACAGTATAGAACACTGGACTGGTTGGTTCACTTGAGCTGAACGTTCAAAATCATTTATTCATGCATATATATGTATGGGAGGATGGAGAGCAGGCTTTGGGTGGGTAGGAGGAAGGGAACAAGGAGATAACTCATGGAAGAAAAATACTGGATGTGTTAAATATTCAATATCGGATGTATTGTCCTGGCAGCTTTCCTCATTTAACTCTTGCAGGCAAGGAGTACCAAGGGCAGGGCCGTGGGAGCAGTCAGCCCCAGGTGCAGGCAGGAAAAGGATGCATTGTTTGTGGAGAACTTAAAAACTATAATAAAACCTACTAAAAGTTGGTATCTTTTATTATCAACATGTCCAAATAATTCTAAACAATGTCAGTGATAATACTGCTCCCCTCAAACTCCAAATATCATATTGGTTTAAGTTCTAAAACTGCCAAGTTTACAGCTGAGTTTTAAATAATATATATGTAAGCTTCAAATGAGCACATTTTCATTACTTACCCTGTAAGAAACACTGTTTTCTGCACGGGAGGTGATACAAAGAACCCCAGTTATACAGTAGACCACACACACAGTGGACTCAGCTACACACATTCCATTCTAGAGTAAGTTCACGTTGGTTCAGAATCATTTGGGCTCACCTTGGCTGAAGTTTGCGTCTCCAGTCCTGGCGGTACTACAGATTCCTGCATTCAAGTGGTAGATTCGGAAACACAGCGATGGCACAGTGATCGTGAAAACAAAGAAACAGAACTTGAGATGCTTCGATCTGTCATTCTAGGTGCAGTGACTTTGAACCATGAGGTGCTCACTCTATTGGACATGTTTTTTTCATGTGGTTCCCCCTCCTTCAAAAATATATTAACATATGATAACCTATATGAGAAAAGAATCTGAAAAAGAATGAATATATGTATATGTATAACTGAATCACTTTGCTGTACACCTGAAACTAACACAATGTTGTAGATCAACTACACTACAATACATTAACATAAATAAAACTATTAATCCAATTTCTTTTTCCTTTTTGGCACTACTTATTTTTATTTTATTTTATATTTATTTTTACTTTATTTATATATTTATTTGTTTATTTTAAGTATTTATTTTTTATTTGTACTTGATTTTCTATTTCTACTAGAAGGAAGGTTCAACAAAAGAAAGATTTTCACTCTCTGTTTCTTAGTTGGCCGTTATAATCATTTGTTTTATTTCATAATTATTACTGAAAAAGGTTTTGTCATATAGAGGAAGGGAGCTTTACAAATAATCTGCTCTGGGTGTCAAATATTAATAGATAAGCTACTGCATATAACCAAAAAGTATCATCTCCATAAATAAGGAAACTGAGGCTCAAAGAGGTGAGGAAATTTGCTGAAATTCACAAAAGTAGCAAGTCAGAGACCAAGGATTCAAACAATATTGTACGGTCAGCAGAAAACATGTATCCTTTACATTTATGAACTCATTTGATACTAACCACAACCAGTATCATTGTCCCCACTTGACAGATGAGGGTCAAATGACTTCCCCAAAGCTCCATAGCTAGTATATGGCAGAACAAGGATTTGAACCCTGGTAGCACTGCATGGAAGCAACCTGAGTAGACCTTTACTCTGGGCTTCCTCGTCAACTGAGGTTCACTTCCAAAGCCATGCTCAGCTCCCATGGCTGCCGCAGCTGAGTAACTTAGACCCGCTTCCGTTTGTGCTGTCCTCTCCACCATCCACCGCCACCAAGAAGGAAATCTGGCAGACGCATGTGGGTGATTTCTACGGACACAACTGCAATCTGGTCTGAAGTTAGCTCAGCCTGCTTGTTTACCTGGTTTACTTTGAGAAAGTAAGGATGAGAAAGAAGACTGACTTTCTGGAGGTCGGAATCCTTGGGGGTTCTAACATATATTTACCCCCCACCCGCCCGCAGACTCAGACTTCTTGGCGAGCTTTCATAAAGGCTGAAGAAAACTGCATGGTGCTTCCTTCACAGGTAATACTGACCTGCAACACTAGATGGCAAAATGGTGCTATGTTACTGTGTGGTTATCTGAAAAAGCCTGGTGTAAAAGTCTTCCCCCCAAATCCAAATCTGCTGAACTGTCCTTTTTTAAAAAAAATGTTTATTTTTGGAAAATAAAGTTCTATGTGGAGTTAATATCTTAACTTTTAAAAATCATTGTTTAGAAATGAACTATTTTGGATGGTCTCAGTCTCCTAGGCTCTATCAAGTAGGTAAATATATGTCTCTGCCTAATGGCCAGCTGGTCAAAAGCTACCTCCTAATTGATCAGATAAAAACGGGAGGATAACAGAAGATAATGGAGATAGTATGAAATGTACTTTCAAAAGCTGCATGTTAACAGAAATGTGACATAAATGTGACAAATGTATACGGCACAGATGTCATCTGTCATGGCCTCTTGTTTAAATAAACATAGAAGCCAATAACAAATTGGACACACTGCTTTTGCTCATTTCATTCATTCAAGAATAAGCACCTCTTATGTACAGGGCAGTTGTAGGCAGCACAGAATACAAAGAGAATTCTATTCTGGCCTTTAAGAAATCGGTGTTCTAGAGGGGGACAAAAGACAAATGTGGCACTACTGTCAACCATCAGCCCCTGAATCATTCTTTCTCCGGAGCCTCACAGTTAAAGCTGCTGGTACCCCCTTCCTCCCCCACCCCCTGCAAGCCTTGGGACCACCCAGGGTCCTGACCCGGGCAGGCAGCACATCAGCGTATCAAGAGCGGCCCCATCCAGGGGCTCAGGGCTGAGTTTGTATTGCTCTCTGATTTGCCTGCCCAAATCAAATTTAGCAGAGTCCCTGCCTTATCAGAAGTGCAGAATAACTATTAGCAGGAGAGAGGGACGCATCATGGTGTACAGACATTGAGGAGAACTGATCCAGGAAGTTTTCTAGAACACTGCCATGAGCAATGAAGAGAAGGTGGAATTACAGGCCCAGAATATTATCCACACCGAGGCAGAGAACTCTGTCCGGGTCAGGGGAGCCTGCAGGGTTGCTTTGTGACCACCTAGAGGGGTGGGATAGGGAGAGTGGGAGGGAGATGCAGGAGGGAGGAGATATGGGGTTATATGTACACGTAGAGCTGATTCACTTTGTCATACAGCAGAAACTAACACACCATTGTAAAGCAATTATACTCCAATAAAGATGTTAAAAAAAAAAGTGTGGTCTGGTCAGCAGCCTTAGCATCCCTAGGAAATTGTTAGAAATGTAAATTCTCAGGCTCCGCCGCAGATCTACTGACTGAGAAACTTTGGGGCTGGGGCCTAGCTATCTGTGTGTTAACAAGTCCCCCACGTGATTCTAATGCACACTTAAGGTCCAGAACCACAGGGTTAGAGTATGGCCCCTGCCAGGGAGGGTTGATAGACAAGGGAAGCTACACAGGGGTTAGACCTTGAAGGGCTTTGTGCTGAGGAGATCGGTGTTTTTCTGTTTGTTTTACCTTGTAGGCAATATGGGAGCCACTGAGGGTTTCTAAGGAAGGAAGTGGTCAGAACAAATCTGTGCTTCCAATCCATCACTCTCAGGACGGTGTGGAGGAGGATGTGGAAGGAGGGGAGACACCCCCTCTTCGGAGCATCTCTAGCTTCTCTTCTGCCTTCACCACAAAGCTCCCCCCCAAACCCCGCCCCAGCTCTCTTTGCTTGTTCTATAGCCTTGTCTCCTGGTGATCTCACCCACCTTCCTGGTGTCAGCCACCCCCTTGGCAGGTGACTACCAAACCTACCTCTTTAGTCTGTACCTCTTTGACTTCCTGGATGTCCAGCTGCCATCTCACACTCAGTACAGCTGAATCTGAACTCACCATCCACAGCTACAGCTTCCTCTCCTGCCTTCTCGACTTCTGTTAATGGCAAGACTGTCTATACAGCCCTTTAGGCAACAGCTGCCCTGGGGGTCATCCTCTAAGCTTTTTCAACCCCAGACTTACTTAATCACAGCCTATTCAGTGTTCCAGGAGTCCTCGGCACATACTTTTATTCCAACACATTGACATGAGTGTCGGGGTCTGAGGGTGATCATCTTAAGGGAAAAACAAGCTCATTTGCATATGTATCAAGCTGTCACAGAAGCAGAGAAGCTGGATAGGGTAGACCTAGGATTTTTACTGAACAAAGGAGTGAATTCCACCCCTTAAAGCTGAGGGTCGAGACAGACCAGAGAACGGCAGAGAGATGCGAGTAATTGCCAATTGGTATGGAGAGTGCAAACCCACAGAGGGTCCTTGGTAAGCCCTGGAAGCATGTGCAGCTGTGGGGTATGAGGGAAAGATCGGTTATGAGGAAATGGGATGAAGTTATAAGAAATTACAGAGGGAGTGGGTATGGAAGCAGAGACAGCAGGTATAGATGAAGCTTTCTAGAAGTCTAGGGAAGAAAGAAAGGGAGATGGGCTAGCATTTCATAGGAGAAGGAAGGAAAAGGGAAGGGTGTTTGGGGGGTCTTGTTTTAAAGGGTAGGGGAAAACTTTGAATATGCAATTCAAGAAAAAGCAAAAAAAAGAAATCGGTGGAATAGGAAAGACTTAAGACATCAGAGAGGGTTGAGGGAGCGCTCAAAAATCACAAAGACCGGGGTAGGTGACATCATGGACACAGAGGAAGGGGCTGGTCTAGGAGCAGAGGATTCAGCTCCATGGTGTCGGCAGGTGGGCTGAATTGACGCTTTCGGAGCATGTCATCTCTGAGGTTGGTGAGAAGGTGGAGAAAGATCCAGAGATGTTGAAGTGGCGAGAAAGAAAAGTCAGCAAGCTCACAGAGACGTCTGTGATGTTGAGGAGAGGAAAATGGAGGCAGGAAGAGGTTGGTGGTCTTTGGGAGAATGGAAAATGTTTGGAACATGAAGAATTTGATTGGCAGTCAGCAAGAGGCCCCAAACACAAGCTTCCCAGCATCGTCCACACTGGGCCCACTGCCTATATTACCTCAGCTTCTCCCCTGCCTGTTGGAAGCCTTCTCCTCTTCAAGCCCCAGGACCAAAGCCACTGTCTCGCTGAAATCTTCCTTGGGAGCCCGTCCCAGGCACAGCTGTTCTCATTAATAATAACGTTTATGTAGTGCTTCACAGCTTAAAAGCAATCACGCATACCTTTTCTTACATACGTTATCTTAATTAACTACTCTCTCCTCTGTAGTTATATAGCACTCTGTTCCTTACAGGAATGTAACACTTTATCAGTTCATATGCCCCCAAAACTAGATGTTCATTCTGTCTACTAGACTGTGAGTTTATTAAAAGGCAGCGTTGCACCTGACTCACCTTTGTAACCCTGTCTAACATAGCACCTGGCCCCAATTAGCAGCACAAAGGCATAGGTTGAACCAAATGAATGAATCTCTGTTGAAAGTATATGCTTAAAACAATCCTACTGATCCTTCAAGACCCAGTTCCACGGCAATTTATTCTCATGCCCCATCAGTAGTATCTTCTTCAGATTAAATAAACATAATTCCTTCTTTTTTCCTCAGAAAATGTATTTTCATTCTTTAGGTTTCAAAGTGATTTTGTTCAGACGTCTGGAAATTATTCTTAAACATTTAGTGTTATGGAGTCAGAAAAGGCCTCAGTGAGTTCTGAACCATCGATGCTTCTCTACTCCTGGTTTGGCACAGGCTTGGGGTTGGCTTTGGATAGCTTTTCCTTCTGGTTA